GTACTCATCTAGTCCAATTGCCAATGCGTGGAGACTGTCTCTTATACACATCTAGATGTGTATAAGAGACAGAGCAAGAGCAGTATAGCCCCAAAGTCAGATTAAACAAAAAAGAAAAACAGTGGGTGGCTCTCTGTTGACTGGTCAGCATACCGCTGACCGGTTGGCCCTACCGGTAGGCTGCAAAACGGTCGGTGGTTGGGGTCGTCGGTCGGCTGGGATGCAATCCTGGTTCTGGAGTCAAAGATCAGGCGTTAGGGTTCTAGGGCCGTAAACAGAAGTCCTGAGGTCAATAGCCTACCGCCTTCGCCCAAATAGAATGCCTGGTCATTACCGCTGTATCTAGACCAGAAGTTGTGCTAAATATATAGCTATAATGACAGAGTGTTCTATTTGGACGAACATGGTAGGTGTGATAACCCGTCCAAACACGGACAGAAACACACAACTGATTTCTGAGTTTTGCTCATAGACTGAATGCCCTACTGAGTTCCCCGCCTGCTAAGTCTGTGTGTGTGTGCTTGCTGGACTGCATGTCTGTCTGAGTGCTGGTTGGCTTGCGTGTATGTGACTGTGCCTGTCTGAATGCTGGTTGGTATGAGTGTGTGTGTGGCCCGCCAGGGCACTTGTTCGTTCGTTGGGCCCTCAGGGCCGGTACTTACCTGTGGCCGTGGCTTCGAAGGGTTGCAGCGGGGAAAAAGCACTCAAGTAGCGGGTAGGCAGGTACCACACCCGGCAGGGGGGTAAATATGCAGGTACCGGAGGCCGAGCAGAAGAAGACAAAAGTGGCATTTTTAGAGGCCGGTAGTGTAGGCTAGGTCTACCGGGTACCAGTCTGAGTCTAGGGCCTGTAGGGGCAATATCAGACTCTGCAATGATGTTCCCTCCAAAAGAGGAGGAGGTACCGGTTGCTTGGGAAGGCCAGCGGCCTGGAAGTCACCGCCCAAGAGGCAAAGCAGGCCGCTATATCTTCCGGCCGGACGGAAGACCCGGCCTCTTTTTCGGTGGGCAAGTTTGGCGACACACTGGTGGAGCGCTGGCTGGAGCAGCGCTAAGCTGGAGCAGCGCTGCTGGGGAGGAAGGAGAAGGAAAGCAGGGAGGAAGAAGGAGGAAGGAAGGGGGAGAAGCGCCAGGGGTACTTACCTGGCTATGGTGGCAGCCATCTTCATCACCTTGGTGGGCGCTGCAGCAAGGAGTCCCCAGCCGGGGGGAGTCACACCAAGAAGCTTCAAGGCAGGGCTGGGCATGGCGGCCTGAGCTGGAGCAGCCATAGCTGCTTTGGGTTGTCCTTTGGACATATGAGCAAGGCCTAGCAGTCCGCCATAGCCTCGGCCTATGAGAGTGAAGAGTGGGAGAGGCGGCCATGGCTATGGTGGACCTTGAGTGATACCTGCAGTAGAAGAGGGACTCGGACATGATTCTGGACCAGTCATTCAACATTGTATTATTATTCTTGTATGAATAAGACAAAGGGGAGATAAGGAGGAGGAGATTGTTGGGCGAAGAAGAAGAGCCTTGTCATTGTCTTTGCTGGTGTACATCTTCTTCTTCTTCTTTCTTACTTCTTCTTCTTCTTCTTCTACTCCTCTCTCTCCTCTCAAGTTCATTCATTTCTTTCTGCAATTGGATGGCATTGTACCTTCTGATGGATGTGTATCTCGAAATTGGCCAGGGTCATAACATAGGGGCATAACGTCCTAACTGAGACCCAGGGACTGAAGATGTCAAAACAGGCCCTGCTGGAGTCCAGACAGTCAGACTCTACTGGGCCCAGCAGTACAATAGTCAAAGGCCTCTCAAGAAGTCAACCATGACCGCAAATCACACACATTGGAAGCATCCAGGGCCTACTAGGACAAGGCACACTCCGGTCGTCATGAAATCTGGGCCGCTCAGATTAAGAAATTTCAGGCCTTCGAGAAGGCTATCTGGGGCAGGGCCAGCTGAGACAGCAAAAGAGTTATGTGCTGGTGTGTACCAGCTCGGTGCTCGGTCATTCATTCTGCCTTGCACTTGCTGGAGCACTGCTGTGTGTTGTGTACTGTGTGCTAGCACTGGAGAGAAGAAGGTAGGCAGAGAGAGAAGTGTGAGAGAGAGTCATGGCTAGGAGTAAGGTGCTCATGCCCGACCTAGAGTAGTTGGAGTGTGAGTGTGTGAGAATGTGTGGGTGTTGTGTGTGTGTGTGTGGGTGGGTTTTTGAGGAGGCCGTTCATGAATGGTGCGAATTGTTGGACAAGGGCGAGCACGCGGGGGAACAACACTGTTATTTTGTGCTGCGACTCCAAGAATGCTACGAAGAGCTGGAGGAGACTTGTGAGCTTTGAGTACATAGTAAAGGTAAGGTAAGGTATCAGTGTGGGTGTAACCGCAATGGTAATTCCACACTGCATGGTGGTCAAGGACATCAGCAATGGACTCTTGAGGACGAGTATAAGTGGGGCTGTCCAAATGGGTAGAGAGATGAAACAGATACCAATTATTGCAGCAAATTGCCAAATTGTGTAATGTTTGTCCACAGGGACAATGGCAAAGTGTTGTTGAAGATGGTGCAAGGAGGCATGTGTAGAACGTAGTGAATGTGGCTGGCTCACATGATTGGAGAACGAAGATGCATTGGATTGACAATGCGCAAGGATTGCAGAACGCCAGTTGTTCAGCTTCTTAGAAAGAGACAAGAAAGAACCAGATCCAGAATGCCCGGCCAACAACCTTTTGTAATTGGCAATGTACTCATCTAGTCCAATTGCCAATGCGTGGAGAACATCGGCAGTTTCCCCATTCAGCCGATACTTCGAGCCTTCTTGAAAAAGCTTGCGAAGGCTATCATCGAAGATGATATTGTAGTCAACAGACACAATATGGCCATCCACAAGGTGAGAACAATCTGGAAAGGCTCTGCGACATTCGCAATCAAAGGAGTCGGGTAAGGTCATGCCAGGAGTAACACTCAAGGCCACATCAGTGAAGTTACAAAGCTGGACACGTGTGGGTGGCATCAGTTTGTCACATACATGAAGATGTGTGGCTGCTTAGCATGAGCTACCTCATGCGCATGTACGACCTTGACGTGGTCAGTAAATGGGTCACGAGGCTGTGGTGTGTAACGTTGGCGGGTATGCTGCGATTTTTGGATGAGGCATTCGAGTTTTCGAATGTCTGTTGTCATGTCTGCATTGGAGACATTATTGTAAAGCCATTGCATAAGCCGTACCCGCCATGCTGGTGCTGCTTGCTCAATATCAGCCTTGACACGACACCAATTACCCGAAGCAGCTTCGGTGAGAAGGCGATGCAGTGAGGTACGAATCATAAGTTGGGGACCAAGACGAAGATCAACAGCAAAGGACCTAACCGAAGGTGTTGGCAAGAGAGGTAAACAGTGAGGGGGTGTTGGCAAGAGAGGTAAACAGTGAGCCGGTGTAGATAAAAGGGGTGCTATGTGAGAAGGATCAGCCGGTGCAGAAACCGATGGAGCAGCAATAGATGCGGTAGGGAGGGAAACAGGAGGAGCTGAGGCATGAGGTGGTAGAGGGGGCTGAGGAGCAAAGGGACGAGGGCCCAGTTGTGTCCAACGATGAGGGCGGAAGTGTCGTCGTGGAGACGGCAGTCTAGCCATTGGAAGGACTGCATTGAAACCGATCGGGTGAAGAGTTCGAAGTTAACGAACCCAGAAGCCCTCGCGGGGTGCAGCAGCCCGTCGAAAGAGGGCATGAATCATCAAGACCTTCAGAGGTATGATGAAGGGTAGGATCGATGCATTCCAAGGGCCAAGCAGCAAAGTTGAATGCTGGTTGCCCACACATTGCACGGTAGAGATGGCGGTGTTGAAAAGCAGCAGAAGAACGCCGTGTATGCCAATGCTCTTGCAGCCGTTGATGTGCAGAATGCATCGTCTGTCCAACATAAAAACGTCCTGAAGGCAAATGAACAATTGCATAAATCATATACACACACACACACACACACACACACACAAAGACAGACACACAGAGAGAGAGAGAGAGAGAAAGAGAGAGAGAGAGAGAGAGAGAGAGAGAGAGAGAGAGAGAGAGAGAGAGAGAGAGAGAGAGAGAG